GGGCCCCCAGGCCTGGCTCCTGTGTGGGGCTGTCACAAGGGCCCAGGGAGAGCATGGGTGTGGAGGTCAGGCTAGTTCCTGACCCTCGGGGGCCCACTGGATGTTCTTGTGCTGCTGGTTGTGGTTCTGCGTGACACCGCGAGGCCCCAGATGGGGTGGTGTACGAGAAGGTCCAGGTGAGGAAGGAGGAGGACAGAGGCGGGTGCTGTCAGGAGGCAGCTCGCAGGCCCTGTGTGTGTTGGAGAGCTGCCTGTGGGTTTGTCGGCTGCCGTCCTCATGGAAGCAGGTTGCCGGGTGTTTCTCCTGCAGAGCTGCTAGGCTGATTTGAACCACTGACCTTGTGGTTGGCGGCCGAGCGCTTAACCATTGCACCACTAGGCCTCCCTCTGTGAATTTTCACAGAGAAAACAATGGTGTGTGCACAGTGGCACTTCGGTGATTGGGGTGGCTGGTCCAACGTCTCACCTGGAACAGAACTGGCATGGAGTCGGCCCGGACCCCCCCGTGAGCACAGATGTTCTCTGGAACTGCCTGTAGGGAGCACCTGCCAGGTGGCAGCACTGGGGCCTGTCCTTTGTCATCGAGATAGAGGACCTGAGAAACGTGCCGATCCGATGGCTGCTGAGCACACAGCCCTGTGGCGTTAATTATACCAACGACGTTGCTTACTGTCGCCCATCCAGCTCCAAAACTCTCTTGCCGCCCAAGACCAAAGCTCGCTCCGTCCCAAGCCATGGGCAGCCCCGGCCTGCCTCCCATCCGTGAGTCTGTCCATGGCAGGCACTGCACGTGAGTGGGGTCAGACGGCATGTCCTGTGTCTGACTTCTGTCACTCAGCAGCACGCCTTCCGGGTTCATTCTGTATTGGGCCCCCACTCTTCCATTGTGCAAACGGACTGCATTGTGATGGGCCACCCTCTGTTAATGGACACTGGATTGTGTCCCCTTTTGGCTATTGTGAGGGACACTGCAGTGAATGTTCATGGATGTGCGTCTCTTGAGTCCCTGCTTTCAAGTCTCATGGTGTCCCCAGGAGGGGACCGCCGCTCTCAGGGGCATGCCCGGGAGGGGACCGCCGCTCTCGGGGGTGTGCCCGGGAGGGGATCGCAGCTCTCTGGGGCGTGCCTAGGAGGGGCACCGCAGCTCTCTGAGGCGTGGAAGGACCTGAGTGTCAGCATTTGTACTGTTTTCTGCACATTTTGTTGGTGGTGGTGTTAAAAACCAGACTAAACCCACCGTGATTGAGTCGATTCTGACTCATAGCACCCCCATTGGATTTCCAAGGTGGTAAATCTTTATGGAAGTAGATTGCCTCATCTTCCTTCTGTGGAGCGGCTGGTGGGTTTGAACTGCCAACTGTGGTTACCAGTCAGATGCCTTAGGCACTGCGCCCCCCAGCAGCAACTTGTGGTAACCCCACGCACAGCAAGACAGCGTGCCACCCAGACCTTCGGAGTCCTCACGACGCTGCCACACTTGAGCCCATGGCCCAGCCCCAGTGTCAGGCCATCTCAGTGAAGGTCATCCTTTGTGTGTGTGTGTGTGTGTGTGTGTGTGATTTGGGTGAAAATTTACAGAGCAAATTCACTTTCCATACAGCAGTTCACACACACGTTGTCTCATGATATAGACCACAGTTCACCACAGTGCAACAGCTCCCCTCCCACTTCCTCCCAACAGCCACCTCTTCCCTGTGTCCTTCCCTCCATGCACTCCTGCCTCCTGAGCTGTCTCCCTGTGCACACACAGCCCTTCTTTTTCCCCTGATTCTTCTCTCCATGGAGTGTGTCTACCTAATGTAAATGTTCAGCTCATATGCCTGTCTTTTGTTTGGCTGGAAGTGGATTCAATTCCAGACCTGAAGGGCATCTAGGGGCCATAGTCTCAGGGGTTCCACCAGGCTCCATCAGACCAGCAAACCTCGTCCCTGACGGTCATCCTTTCTCCCTGACCTTCCACCTGACCAAGCAGGATGTGCACAGCTTAGCTATGCACAAATCATCCAAAGTCACTGTTCACAGTAGATGTGTCTGTGAAGCGGGGAGTGTACCCAAGACCATGTACAGGGTTGGCAGACAAGGGTCCTATAAGTTTATGTGTATGATCTGAATTCTCAGGTGTATAGTGGAGCTGACAGGGGGCAAGGTTGTAGTCACTGCTTGGTCACAGCCAGCTACCCAGAGGGACCGAGTAGTTGAACCTGTGGGTTTGGGACTATAGTCACAGGGGACATCAAGCTCAATTGGTATAACATACTACACAAAACACTGTTCCACCTCCTACTTTGGCGAGTAGCGACTGAGGTCTTAAAAGCTTGCAAGCTGCCATCTAGATGCAACGATGGGTCTCTCCTTGTCCAGAGCAAAGAAGAATGAAGAAAACCAAAAATTCATGGAAACAATTAGTCGTAGCGACTGGTACACCATCCGAT